AGACATTCAGGCTAGTAAATGTTGTTAATACTGTTTATTATAAACAGAGCATTTACTTAAATATTTCTATCTATAAAAATAACATATAAAAATAAATTAAATAGCTGCTTATGTCAACCATGATATCACAGGTAGGATTTGCTGAACAAATACACCAACACTGTTATTTACTTTAATGCTTACACATTTCATAACCCGACATTCTGAGAGGAGAAACAAAAATGAAATAATAATTATATTTGTATTTTAATCACATCAGAGTTTAAATACTGTACTTATAGATAAGGATTCAACTCTTGTCATTGTTTGTACTAAAAAGCTAACTTTTTCTGACAGTAGGATAAAAATGTTTGATGCTTACATGTCATTTTTCTAATTTCTGACCTAAAATTTCTTTTAGGAGGTTTCAGCACTCTATCATTATGTTGTGTAGTAACCCAGAAATACCTTCTGTAAAATCCAATATGAATTATAAAAATTTAAACAAAAATCCATTATTAATTATAGGATTCTAATAATGTTAGTTACTTATAGGTTTATGAAAAATCTATTATTAATTATAGGTTTATAAAAATCCAGTAGGAATTATAGGTTTCTACCCATAACCTATTAATGCCGACATCCCATGTTTAGGATATGAACAGGTTAAAAATCAGAAAAAGGGATTTTTAGTGATCAGGAGATAAGACAAGTATTGTTGAAAAAGAGAAGCTATTATATGATGCATATAAATGCATTGATCAAGTTTATACTGGAAAAATAAATTCAAAATAAGATGCTATATAGAATATTAACTATTAAAGAAAAAAATTAAGATTAGAAGCAACAAGTATGAATAACTTAAACATTATTTAAGTGAGTTCCTGAAGTTATAGCATTAAGTGATTAAACATTACTAGGGTGTAGTAACCAACCAGACCAATTGTAATTTTATAAGTCAAGTTTAATTTGTAGGGGTTACATTACAGGAAAATCCTTACAAATGTCAATGTGTCAGGAATATGAAAAGCATAGTTCCACTCCTTAAAGCGTGAATAAAGGATTTTGTTTAACATTTCCAAAAGGCTACTTGTAATGAAAAGGGGTTACAACTTGTAATGCTGTTCATATATACACACAGAACAACACAGTTCTAAAAGGAGAGAAAAACGTTTATGTGTTTATCTGTAATGTGGGTGTGTGAGTGCACTACGTGTTTCTGGGGAGACTAAAATGTCAGTTCACCCAGAGAAAGAAGATACATCTTGTTGCTACAGTATCACATGGTTGTAGAGAGCACAAAACAAAAGAGCATTTGTGTCCTTATATATACAGCTTTATTCAATGCCACTTAGGTGGGCATTAAGAGAAGTCCCCTGACAGACAAGGTTGGGTAATCTCACAGACTAACTTTAATACCTGAGCAAGATGAAAATGGACAGCAGACACATATTTTTATGAAAACAAGAAAGACAGATAAACTGATCAAAATTTAATGCATATTATAATCTCAACAATGTTCAGTGAAATGATGAGGTTATTTCTACTATAAGACCCAGCCAAAGGATATTTCAGGAAATTTTTTCTTTTAAATCATAAATAAGGAGCCTCATCATTAAGCAATACTTAGCAAGGCTATTCTGGCTGACCATTACTAAATATTGGGTTTGATCCTCACTGGGTGCCCCATAGAAAATTTGACATTAAATAACCCAACAAGGGTTGCCATGTCCTAAAATTGTGACACTATTTGGGTTGCTGGTAATTAATAATCAAAATGGCGACTTGAAAGCAAGATAATAATGAATAACTTAGCATGAAAAGGGTTAATCAATCCCGGAAAAATAGGCTGATAGTAAGAATTGTTCCCAGAGAATTGAAATATGTATAATGGAACAAATGACCGCTTGAAAGCAATTTTCTGTGTGAACAAATCAGCTGTTGACAGCCAGTGACAACTAATGCCTGAATCTGGAGTTAAAGCTAAATGAATTCATTTTGCAGGATATCAGAATGAAAAAACAATGAATTGAACACCTGCAGCTGAGAACTAAAAATTTCCTTGGGAAAGTGTCCCTTGGGTCAGAGTTGAGAGAGCCAAATGTGGTGTCAATTCACTTATGAGGAAACTATATTTTAAAACATATTTTTTTTTATCAATCTCCGACCAAATGTTGGAGGTGACAGGCGGAAAAGATCAATCAAGGAAGGAAGAGGGGTTGTCTGTACCCACTGAAGGGCAGCAGGCACAGAGGAGACATTAAGAAGGTTGAAGGAGCTGCTCATGCCCACTGGGGAGCAATAGTCAGAGTTGGTACTAAGAGAAGGTAGAGGCAGCCGGGTGGAGCAATGTCTGCAACCCCACCCCTATGAGAGAGGGAGAATTCCCCAAAATTATGAAACTAATTTGATTTCTCAAGACCAAAAATAATGGACTTTTGTTGGAAATCAGGGGATTCACTGAAACCCAGCCTACATCTTGCCCCACACCAGTTTCTAGTTGGAGTCCATAAAAATGAATGTGCGAAAGCCATTCAGACAGCTTGGGAGTTGAGTTCGAATTGAGTTCAGAGAGACAGCCAGAGAGCTGAGAAGGGAAGCAACAGAGGTCGCTGAGAGATTCCACACTAGCTGCCAAACACAAGAACCTCTGACTTCAGCCTTGAGCCAAACTTACCAAAACATTAAAACAAATTTCGATAACTTTGCAAGCCAAAAACTTACCAGCTTACCCAACTGTTCCATTCGATTTAGGAATGAGTTGAGTTGACATACACCTATATGTGAACACAAATACTAACAATCCCTTGTACACAGAATTGATATAAAGATAGTAAGTATTTTTTATATATATTTCAAGTGCTGTTTTTTTTTTTAATTTTATTGTACAACTTCACTCTATTTGGATCAGCCCAACACAAAGATAACTGCAATGAGTCCATCTTATAATCTTAATAATCCTTATAATCAAAATAATCACAACATGGGGTAAGGCAGGTCAGGATCGAAGAGATTACTCCATTGATCAAACCAGGATTGAATTGAAGTGCTGTAAGTGAGGATCAAGTTGAAGTATTATGAAGCTAAGAATTTTCAGTAAAATAATTACAGTATATTTTTTAATGTTGTTTTCCTTCAGAGTGTAGACGATTATTGATTTCCTCAGATTTCTTTATTATCTGTGAATTGACATGTCTTCTTCTATGTGCCATGTCCCTTCAGAACATTGGCAATCATGGATGGCTCTCCACAATTTCCTGTCCCTTGTTGAATTTAAAAACTAAAATCAGAGTGAAACTCATTCGTTTAGATGGAGGAGGTCTGATTTGCAATATCAGCTGCTCAACTGCTTATGTTTCAAGGGTTTGATTGTTGATGACCAAATCTAATCTTATAAATTTACTCTTCATTCTTCCCCGAAAAATCAGCATTATATTTTATTGTATTGTTTTATTTACATTCGGACTAATGTTGCCATTTTTGTTATTATCACATTTTCTCTGGATTTCTATCAGTCCTGGTAACGTTCAGGAAATTTTGAACTGGACCCTTCATTTAATCTATAGGAGCAGATTTTTCTTGTCCTACTGTTCATGTCTAGGCATATTGCATCTTTTTTTAGTCATGCTCACTCACTGTTTATTCTGTTTTAATGAAATGTTTTAATATACATTTGTCATATTAGTTGAAGAACTGCTTACTTAATTGGCATGGAAAATTGAATCAGTAAGCCAAGTAAATATTCTGTCTGAGGCTATTGCATTCACTTTTACACAAAGGGAAAAGGTATGAGTTTATCTTTACTCAAACCAAACTGCCATGGATAAAGCAGTGGAGTAGTCTAGGTTCTCTAGCCTTAATAGAGCAAACAGTCTAAGAGAAAGAATTCAAAATGGTGGATAAAGCAATGAAAAAACATTCACTATTTTCCCCAAAACAGGCATGACAAGACAGTATATTAAAGATGAACTTGTGATGAGTCATGATTATTTATGTTCCTTCAGGTCATGGGCATTATAAAAATAATTTCTATTCTTAATAACAAGCAATATTAGAGTATTTATATTTAATATTTTATCCTTGTCACTCAACTGTTCTCTCTCTGCTTATTATTTCTTCTTCTTCTCGTTATCCCCTTTCTTCTTCTTCTCCTTTTCTCCCCTTTCTTTTTCGCCTTCTCCTTCTTCTTCTCCTCCTTCTAGTTCCTACTTTCTTCTTCTAGTTCTCTTTCTTCCAGTTATCTCCTTCTCCCAGTTCTTCTGCTAGTTCTCCTTCTTGTTCTTCTAGTTTTCCCTCTTCTTCTTTTTCTAGTTTTCCCCCTTCTTCTTCTATTTCTTCTTCTAGTTCTCTTCCTTCTTCTTCTTCTTCTCCTTCTTCTAGTTCTTTTTCTTCTTCTAATACCACCATTCCTCTCTCTCTCTCTCTCTCTCTCTCTTTTTTTTGCTCATTGTGTCATGCCATCATTCTTTAGTTTTTATATCCAAGAAAACTTATCTTGGTTCTTTTTCTTTCCAAACCATACTTCTCCAATTTCTCAGTCTCTTTCATGATTCCTTCTCTCCTTTTCTTTTCTCTCATCTTTTTCTACTATCCCTCTAATTCTTTTCTTTTTCCAACACTCCAACACGTCTCTTCCATTCTTCTTCTCAAATGTCTTTATCAAGTTCCCATATCATAATTTACAAAGTTTATAAAATCAATCTTCTCTATCGAGGTTACTTTCTCCTAAGTAAAATCATTTTTTTCTCTTCCCAACTTTCTTCTCTCTCATGATTAATTGCTAGAAAAAAAAAAGAAAACAAAATTCTAAATTAAAAATAAATTTTAAGTAACCTGAACAAACAGCTGGTGCCATAATGGAGGTGTTGTCATCATTGCTGCTTGCCAAAATCCTGACAGTATGTTCACTCCAAGAGTCTTGGATGACATTTCCATCATGTGCTGAAACTGGAACTGGTTGGTAAATGCTGGAAGTGGTAACAGGTTCTGGTGGGGAAATGCTAACTGTTGGTGGCTCAGAGTTAAGCAGCTGGGGAATACTGGCATTGTTTTGTTCCTCTGGTGCACTGCTCTCCTTGCTTGGCATCAGCCGCATGCATTGCAGAGGCTGCAACAGACAGATATAGAGACTTTAAGAATATGGCAGAATTTTCAAGGACACAATTATATTGACTATCAGGGTAAGAGTTAACAGGCTTCTTTCTAGTATAGAGATTGAAACTGAGATAGATAGATAGATAGATAGATAGATAGATAGATAGATAGATAGATAGATAGATAGATATGAACAGGCTGAAATAGATAGATATGAACAGATTGAAATAGATAGATATGAACAGATTGAAATAGATAGATAGATAGATAGATAGATAGATAGATAGATAGATAGATAGATAGATAGATAGATATGAACAGGCTGAAATAGATAGATATGAACAGATTGAAATAGATAGATATGAACAGATTGAAATAGATAGATAGATAGATAGATAGATAGATAGATAGATACTCACTTCATCCATGGAATTTTCAGTATCTTTCTGTAGAACCACATTTCTGAAGCCTCTAGTTTTCTCCATGGGGAGATTATCTACCATTCACTGCCATTTAAGAGGATTGGTAACACATAGCAATCTAGCTATGAGTTTTTCACAAATACCCTTGAGAAAGGTATCAATCCATCTGTTCTCCCCATCCCAGCTATAGATTAAACAGCAGAGAAGCCTGATCTCTAGCCTTGGTTGGCACCCAGTCTAGATGAAGAACATTTCTCAATTCATACCCATTCAAATTGTGGCTGGCAACTCCACTCCATAAAAATCTACTTGTTAAGAAAACCAGAGCAGCAACCCCTAGTGTGGTGAAGCTATAGCTCCACTGCTAGGTTCTCTTCCCCAACCCAAATCTATGATACAGGGGCCCCCACTCTACTATATCTCAATTTTCATAAAGTAGTATTCATATAAAATAAAAATTTTACTCTAACCTAATTATATACAATAATGGATCATATGCAATATAGGTGAACAATTCAGCTACAAAAATTGAATATAAATGCAATGTATTTAAATATTAGAGACATGTTATAATAGATCATTCCATATTTAAATAAATCAACAAATTTTTGTAGTAGTTTTTAAAATCTTGAGATTTTTCTTGTTAAAAAGTTGAATAATTTGAACACATTCAATATTATGGATAAAAATAAGGAATTTTATATATTGTTCTTTTGAGACTTAGCATGAGGAAACAAATTCATGTATTTGGACCCCCCCCCTCCACAGAATGAAGTCAAAATCCACAAAAAATTTTCATCCTTTAATAGTCAGTTGTGCTTAATTTAATTTGTAATGCATATGCATATAAATGTAGGTAGAAAAAACACAAATGTTGATAATAAAGTGAGGGTCACAAAGCCCCCAATCAGACTTCCCCTCCCCAATTGGGGGTTTGATGTGTTGTATGCACCAGCCTTGCACATGGTAGTTAAGGAAGTCAGAGAAAAAGAGAGAGATCCAAACAAAAAAAAATAAATGCCTAAAAGTGGCCTTACCAGATTGGGAACATGACTGTATTGTCAAAATCATAGGTTAACGAAGGGGAGAATTTTAAACAAAAGTATTACGGCTTTACTCATGAATAAAGAAAACTTAATTTAAAGATTAGGATAATGCCAATAATAGTTGGTGCTCTTGGATGCACAACAAAAACATGATATTCAAGATCAGTTAAAGTTAAAAATTCAAGGATAGCATTACTAGAGTTAACAAGAATACAGAGAAAGGTGCTGAAGATTTCTGAGAACTTGATATCACTGAGACTCCAATAACCACTAAATTCATTAAATAATAATACTAATAATAATAATAATAAATATGCAAATGTAACATATAAGCCTCACACTAGCATATATAAATGGCATATTGAAGACTGAAAATATTAACTTCCAAGGCAACTCACTAATGGGAGAAACCTATGAAAGAAAGGTTTATTCTCTCATTTGTAATTCCCCCTTATGGGCATTATTATATGCATGATATAATAACACCATATTTTATGGATGTAATGGAATGACTGAAAGGAAAAGAAATGGTGAACATGTTTTGTTCTCAGAGAGACTTTTATACCACTAAGACATACACAAAACTATATATACATATTTACACATATCCCAAGCAGAGAAAAATATAACATATATCTACACAGCAAGCAGAGTGTAAGGAGGAACAAAAAGATAGGTTCTTATATATAATAAGGAGATTCTTCTGTGTTTCTGGAGAAGCCATGTTTAGGACTCCAGATTCAATTGGGCCAGATTTATCTACTATGTCCCAATCGAGGACATATTCCACAAACATGAAATGGTGAGTCCTGGTTTTTTCCCAAATTGAGTACTGCAAGCCAGAGTTTCTTTCTATATCTGGGGAAGATATATTCCCAAAAGGAAATGGTGCCATGTACCTGTAAGTTGCTGGGGCAGGCAAATTTAGGCTCAGCCTGTTCTGAGAAGACTGAGCCAAACAACTGCTTTATTTGATTCCTGTAAACTGTATGAAATTGACTGCCACTTTCATCAGCAACAATCATGACTTTATCTCAACCAAAAGGAGATAATCGCTTTTTGTATCCAAACATCACTTTCTTCCTTACTTACCTTATTTCTGGTCATTTAATTGAACTTATAAGGCAGGTGATGAGGCTGATTTAAAGAGTTTTTTAAGCACAGTCAAGAAGTTCAGAAATGAAATAGGTACATGGTTCATCTTAAAAAAAAGTGCAGACTTCTTTTAAGAAAGCTAGGCTTATGAAGACAAATGTCATAATGATTAATATAGATGCAGCAATAAAAAAAAGTTGAACAAATCTATGACTACAAATATGTAGAAATCCAAGAAGCAGTATTGTATAAATCATGTGGTAAACAAAGAAAAGGTCAGAAAAAGGTTCTAGAGAAGAATAAAATCAATCCTAAATATTGAATTCAATACTTACTATCAGATTATGGCTATAAATTTATTAGCAATACCAGTTATGACATAAGTTCATAAATTCAGTATAATCAACTGGAATGTAAATGAAATGAAGAAAATTGCTTCCAGATTAAGCAAAATTACTAACTTGCCATAACATGCACCAAATTACTCAATTTATAGAGAAAACAATAAATTCCTAAAAGAACACAATATCCCAGTCAAAGAGACAAATAAAAATATACTAAAAATAAAAACAGCTAAAATTATAACAAAAAGGATGTTAATATACAAGGGTTAAACAATTTCAAAAAACCATCTGGAAACAAAAACCTTTACATTATCAATATGCATTCAGAAGTAACAATACCACCATAGATAAAAACAAAACAATACATGGCTAAAAGTAGAGTGGGAGGCATTTATAATGACTGTACAGAACCAAAGCTTATTTACTAGGAATTACAAGGCAAACATAATACAGAATAGTGCAGGCCCAATACATAGATTATGTGAATAACATGTTGAGGCTACTGACCACTTAGTGTCTGGCTGTCCAATCTTGACATCGAAAGAATATAAATATCAACTTGATAAGATTAGTCAGTATATCTACTGGAAGATATGTCAGTATTACTATGCAGCCTATGTCAAAAAATGGTATGAACATCACTCTGAAACAGTTATAGAAAGCTATGAGGTCACTATTCTTTGGAACATTACCATAAATACTGAGATATTAAAATTAATAGACCAGAAATGGTAAATAAAAACTACAACCAAAAAAGTACCTTCAAATAATTATGACAATGCCAAAAATATATGTTAAAGAATATGACAAAATAAATAAATATAATGATCTTGAAATTGAAAGGGAAAAACGTGGTACCTTAAAATTACTTTTATACATATAATAACTAGAGCCACAAATACAATCAAAAGAGGTACAGACAAGAACATTAACAAAATCCCTAGCAGCACTTCTTTACAAGAGATTCCAAAAATTGTACTGTGTGGAATTGCTCATCTATCAATGTAAAGAAAATATAATCTCTTAAAACCAGAATTTGTGCAAGCAAAATGAATATATTTACTACCTTGCATTACCCCCGGTCTCAGGTAATGACCCAGTAAGGGATTGTACTGAACAGAAAACTAAAAAAGAAAATAATAATAATAATAATAATAATAATAATAATAATAATAATAATAATAATGACAACATGGAGGTAAAAATGGGGATTGCAATTAAAATGGCTCTTCCTGTTTAATTATCTGGTTTCTTCATTTTTTTCCTGAACTCAAAAACAATTTTCTGATCAAATCAATTAATATTATTAAAGTCTGCATTCACCAAAAAGAAGCCTGATTATTTTGCATTATAAATACACAATGTCCACAAAGAGATTCATGTCCTGATAACTGGCCTTGTTTCTTTGATAACAGACATTAAGAAAAGCAGAGGAATGAATGGTACTAGTGATTGATGAGCTTTTAATGAGTTCTCTAACGAATCACTTCAAAGACATATATTGCCCATCAAAAATTGATTGGCCGCAGTCTAAAAGAAAAGCAGAGACAAGATTATGAGAAATAAGATGGTGCAGCAGTGGAAGGAATTAATTATACAACATATTCAATGTGGAAAAGAAAATACAGTCAACAAGAATTGGGTAGCCCAAAAAAATGAATTTGGTTTTTGTTAACTTCTGTTAAGAACATTTAGTTTTAACTTATTTCATTTAATTTATTAATGTCCACAATCCCATTTTGGGGGATGGATGGTATTAATGGGTTATAGGTAGAAACCTATAAGTAATACCAAATCTTATTTTAATTTTCATAATACCAGACTTCACAATGGATATTCTAACATCAAAGATGAAAGAAATTAAGAAATACTTTCCATATATATATATATATATATATATATATATATATATATATATATATATATATATATAACTTTTTAAATGGTAAGAAATTAACTCAAACCTAAAAAAAATAGATTTGTACAATTTATTGAGAAGGAGGTGTTAATATCATACATGTCAAAAGTGGTTTGCAAAGTTTTATACTGAAGATCCTTTCATCAAATAATTCTACATGTTGAGATTAATAGAGATCAAATGAAGACATTAGTTGAGAATAATTAGCATTAAAGAACATGAAAAATTGCTAACATATTCAAATTACCCAAAGTTAAAGTTAAATCATTTACACCACCGTGATTATGATAGCCAATTTGTGACTTCCATATCTGTTAAACAAAAACAAAAAAAAACTATCGGATCATATTTTCATATGCAATTCACCTTTTTTTTTAATATCATGCTCCTTCAGGACATAGCTAATAACATATCTCCACAGCTTCTTTTCCTCTTTAATATCTGTGAATTGTTATGATTTCTTTGGGAAGATAGTGGAATGGTTACTCATTGCCTTCCAATTCTTTGAATTCAGATCAATCCTTTTCCAAGATTGGTTGCCACTCAAGGCTAGAGAAATTAGTCTATGTTACTATTTAGCCTATAGCTACTGGGGGAAGAGAT